TCTTTCTTTCTTTCTTTCTTTCTTTCTTTCTTTCTTTCTTTCTTTCTTTCTTTTTTTTCCCATGTCTGAGATGAGAACCCAGTATTTCATGTAAATACTGTAGAGTCAAACGTTTCAGGGCAAATTCGTGTTAGTCTCGTTGTCCCCCACCCTTCCCTCGCTTTGCCCAGGGCTACAGAGGATCAGTAAATTGGTTACTCCCAACCTCTTCCTTTCCCTCACTAGAAACCCAAGTAATTTATAAGGACCCAATCCTCTGTTTAATCAAAACAGAGCATCTGGAGAGATTTACAAACAGGAAGAAAATTTATGTCCACAAAAGACATGAGTTTCCTGCCTGCAGTATAGCTTAAGGATGGTCTGTGCCAGACAAGTAGGAATCTTGATTCATGTTTAACTCGGTCAAATTATCTCTCTTAAAATTAAAAAGCAATTCTTCTCAATAGAGGAAGATCTAACCACATCGGATTGCCTGACCAAAAGGTTTTTCTGCGTCATCTGGGAAATCTGCCATTCCCTGAGACTAGGAGGCAATTACTTTTTCATGCAAAGTTGTAGCTCTAAGGTGGAGTTAGTCTGAGTAATGGAATTGAAAAGCCATTTGTGTCATAACAGATAGAGAAATTAATGAGTTGAAATTGTTCGGCCATGCCATCTCTGGGCATGAAGGATAATGTAGAGCTTTGCCTCACAGACCGAGGAAAGCATACTCTTGGTCTGAATCATTATTTGTGACCCTGAAGAAATTCTAGACCCGAGGCCCTTCCTGAGGGAACCCTGTACCACACACACCTCTCCAGAAGCAGGCCATCATCCTGGAGCTCAGGCTGGGAGAATTGCAGGCAGACTACAGGAGTCAGGGATAAAGCAACTCTCCAAGACGCCCTCTCAGGCGAGGCTCTGAAGAGCAGGGGGAGACGTCAGAGTGTGAAGGTGGGGACAAGAGAGGGGATGTGATTCAGGAGCCAGGAGGAACGCCCACACGCCAGCTGACCCCATGGTGAGCCAGGTTCAGGTGAAGAGTTACATGGTCAAGCCACCAACAACCTAGCCAAGTGTCTCTCCTACTTGGACATTAACACGGCTCTGTGTCCCCCTCCCTGTTTTTAAATACCTCAGTGCCATTGAGACTTGACTCTTACATTTCCCATGAGCAGTCTAATGACCACGTTAACGCAGATACTGGTGGAATAATGGTGGTCAGCAAACCTAGAAATCTCTCTCCATGAAAAGAAGGAAGAAGAATTTTGATCAGTGATCCTGGCCCATTGGAATAGGATGTTAACTTTCTCTGTAAATGTAATATATAGGAATTTTTAAATGAAAAACTGAAAATACTATTTACTTCTTTTCAGAGATTTAAATTATAATAATCTTGATGAATTCCCCACTGCCATCAGGACCCTCTCCAACCTTAAAGAACTGTAAGTATTTAGGACAAATTTAATAGAAGAACTCTCTTCTTCGTGAAGTCACTTTAAAATATGTTTGACTATTGTACATAGTATGACCAACTGGAAAAATTTAAAAGTTTGTATAAATAATGGCTAAATACACTTGAAATATATTTTCATTTATTCCGTCACCAACAGACATTAGATAATCTTTTAAATTTAGAATGGATTTCTCTAAAATATGTATATTTGAAAAAAATTGACATAGTTCTCTAAATCATACTCCTTTCCTAAGCTATATTCCCCCCAACATCTACACACTTCATACATTTATAGAGAATTATCACAGAATTCCTTTATTTGCTGAGCATTTTGAAGAACAAACTTTCCTACATCGTGTAAGTCTAGGACTAGAGAAATAAAATGCATGTGCCTAGTACCGTGCTAGATGTTTTCATGCACATCATTTCATATTCTTTAAATACCTTGTGCATCATATTTGATTTTTTAAAACCCACAATTATACTAAAGTAAAGCTGACTTTCAGCTCGTAGGTTGCATCCATTGTCTTTTACATACTATAATTCAATTAGCTTTTCTTTGTACCTAAAAATATGAATAACGTATGTAAGAAATGTTCCAAGAATCGGAAAGGGAAATAAACATAGAGCCAGGAGAAATGAGACACACAGCTAAAGGAGATAGACAACAGGGCTTGTTTGGAAGCAAAAGACCTGAGGAGGGGTCTCCCTCAGGAGCCCCCACATGTGGCTTAGCTGGGAAATCCTCACAGTCTATGGTCTGGCAGACCTAAGGCACCTCATCCAGCCGCCGACCCACATGGGACCCATTCCGCCACTCAGACAACGTTAGCACCGGCAGAGGGGAATCAGTTTTTTATTACAGACTCACTGAGTACCTCCCTTCAGCTCAGGCAATCTTGTCCTCCTAAGGAGATTACGTAAATCTCTCCTTTACAGCAGCTTAAGTCAATTTTCTCTTCTCCTCGCTTCAAATGGGGTCAGGAGGAGTGACCATAATCCTCTCTCCAAAGATGGTTTCCTCTGTGTCAAGTTGTTATACAGTGGTGTTCTACTGGATATTAACAGATGGATTTTCTTTTTATAACATCAGATTGTAAGCTTCCATAAAGCACGACTGTTACTTTTCAATTTTTTTACTCCTCTTTCAAGAGGCCAGCTTGTGATTTCTTTTTCTCCTAAAGAGCACGTAAGCTTCAAAACGCATAGAGGAATTTAATCTTACCCTCTAGCTATCAAAGATGTTGACCACTGCCACAGGAGGGGAGTACTATTATATAATGTTACCCTACAGGTTATTTTCCTTTTAAAATGTTTCCCTCTCTTTCTAGAGGATTTCACAGCAACAATATCAAGTCAATACCTGAGAAAGCATTTGTAGGCAATCCTTCCCTTATTACAATGTAAGTGGCCATAGTTCTTTTTGATTTTTCCATCCTGAGATATAATATGTATTGCACTTTTAAATGTAATAAAATGAATGTCCTATAGATTCCCAAGTTTTGTCTTTATCAATTCAAGATTCTTTACAGAGAACCATATATGGAGATGTTTTGCCAGCTTTCAGCTGAATGCTGAAATGACATAAAAGATTCTTTGTTTCTAGAACCTACAAGTGTGCATTGCCTCATGCTTCATATCTTCAGAGACCTTGTCTCACTTCACAGTACTCTTGTGACGTACTTTTGCCTATCTATTTTCTAAGGAATAAAACTGATTTTTTAGAGAATCATTGTCAAAGTCACAGTCACTCAGAACTTGAACCCAGGTATACTAGAAATATAAATTTTTTTTTAAGATTTATTTATGTCAGTGAGAGAGAGAGAGCACGCACGCAGGGGTGGATGGGCAAAGGAAGAGAGAGAGAGGGGAACTCAGGCAGACTCCGCGTTGAGTGCAGAGCCTGATGCAGGGCTTCATCTCAAGACCCTGCGATCAGGACCTGAACTGATTCTAAGAGTCAGACGCTGAACTGACTGCGCCACCCAGGTGCCCCTATAAATTATTATAACCAAATAGGAGTCCTTTACAGCATCCAGCAATCCACTCCATTGATGGTGGGCGTTTGGGGGCTTTACCGTTTTATGTGAGGTTTCTGTATCTGTTTGTTATCAAGGCCAAGGATTGAGTCACATTTACATAATTACAAGCTCAGTTGTAATTCTAGAAACATGCTTATATTCTAAAAAGATGTATGTGAGGGTTTATATATCCTAAAAGTGCACAATAGAGTTACAACTAAAGCATATAATTAATGAGTTATATGTTTCACATTTAGCATAAACAGAAAATCGATCCCATGTAGATGCACCGGAAGATGAAAACAGGTGTTAGGATGGTTCTTAGATAAAAGACCTGGCAGACTGGGAGAACAGTACTGGCCTGAGGTCTTGCAGGAGGGGTTTCGAATCTGCAGGAGAGTAAGGACAACTGTTGAACTTGACCCTGGGGGCATTTCTTGGCAGATATTCATCCTGTGCCAACTTGATTAAGAGGCCTTCTGGAACCGTGTAGTAGTGTCACAAATGAGCTGGAATCCCAATCAGCCCTGACAACTGAAAAAAAAAACCAAAAAAACACCATTGTTTCTGAAATAGATTGACAGTATGTTGGCAAACTAAGGGTTTTAAAGTTTATTGCCAATAAACATTAGGCCTCATTAGAGAGTATTTACATACTAAAAGTTGGCAAATTTGCTTCTTTTTCCTTAGAGCCACAAGACTGGGGTTGGTTTTGTTTTGTTTTCTTTTTTTTTTTTAATCACGCTTTTGATATGCTAATACCACTTGAGAAAGGACTAACAGCCCCCAAAATTTATTAGTGCTTCTATCCAGTATTTTATTGCTATTTGCTATTTTCTCCCTGAAACTCTCCTCTTCTTGCTTCTGCCTGTTTCTCTCTCGTCAGTCACTGCCACCCCCTGGCAGATCCCCAGTTCCCAGCTTCTGTGAATGCTTCCCCTGTCCCACTGGCCACCCAGCCTCCATTTCTCCCTCTGTGGTCCCCTCCTCGTAACTGCTTCTTCTCAAGCCCACTGCCACCCGCCTCTGCTAGCCACTGCCTCAGCATTCCTGCCGATGGAAGGCTCATCCCCCGCCTCTGTCACGGGAGGACGGAGGCAGAACATCCAACTCGTCAACATCTTGCTGTGAAACATACGGAGATGCAGGGTTGCCTCTCGCCTCATCTCCTGACCAGTTCTCCACAGCTCTCCTCGGTCACCCGATGTCATAACCCAGATTGACTAAGCTGTATTCATAGAACAAAACTTTGTTTTGCCTTTGCTCCTACAAGTCCATCTCTCACGATGCTTATTGAAATTCTGTCTCCAAGAACCCGTTTCCAATGACATTACATGAAGTTTTTCTTGATCTCACAAGAAAACTTCCTGAGAGCCCTATAACTCTCTTATTTGTGAAACTTACATACACAAGCATGGGTATTCCTATCTGCCCAGTGTACATACGTACATATATGTATGTGAACACAATTATATATATATATATATATACAGGCATATGACATAGATAAGGGACAGTGTGATATTATGGGAAAACTCTCCATTTTTTAATCACAAGACCTATATTCTAGCTCTAGCTCTTTCTCTTATCAGTGTTCTAATCCAAGGGAAGAGGGCAGGAGGACAGAAGGGGACTTAGGTTTTTATGGGTGATGGATCTAATCCAGGTCCCAGCCAGATGTTACACATGCATGAGCTCTTTTAATTTGTACATGAAACCTACAACTCAGATTTATTATCCCAGTTTAACAAATTAGAAAAGAAAAGCTCTGGGAGGTACTGAATTTACCAAAATATCAGAGCCTTACTTTCCTCCCCCCAAAATGAGATAAATGTATCTAAGTATCTGTGCTGTGGATAATTTAAAATTTAAAAGCTGTGGAGCTTTTCAAGTTGTTAAGTGGATCCATTGAGCTGCATACGTGAAAGAGCTTTATCAACTAGAAAGTGTTAGGCTGTTACTTACTTGTTCTATCCCAACTGATTCTAAGCTTCTTTAGGGCGGGGACATTGTGTCCGTCTTCTTCAAACTCCCAGAATCTAGCATAATGTCAGGCATGTAAGAGATCTTAATGATGGCTTCCTTAATGACTGTCTATGAATTCCCACAGTACCTAGTCTCATACTTTGAGTGCAATGACACCAATAAATATTTGTTGAGTTTTAGGGAACTGGGATGTCTTCTCCACTAAGAACTATTTGTAGGGCTTCATTGACCAGACAGTTCAAATACCATTCCATTGAAAACATCTGTAAAACAAAGTATTTAAGTTCTTATAATGTCTCATCATTTAAAGCAGTATAAGTCTTTTAGAAATCTAATGTTACCAAAAAAGCAGAATAGCAAATTTCCTCTCAAATAATTGGAAGAGTCCTTCATGTATGTTATGATAAGATTTGACACAAGGACCTAACCTTCATGTGTGTCTGTAGAACTTCATCTTTCTTTATTTATTTAATGATGCAATTGCCAGGACCTTGAATTACCTTTTTGCCACTTGATGGATATGCCACAGATGTTGGAGGCAGAGGAAGCTTTTTAGGTATACCTACAATCTGTTCACTTGCTTTTATCCTTAGTATCTGTCACTTATATCTGCCTTGCTTCAAAAAAATTTTCATTTTTATATAGTATGGATTTCTTACTGGAAGTCTCCTCCTGGGGCACCTGGGTGGCTCAGTTGGTTAGGCGTCTGCCTTTGGCTCAGGTCAGGATCCCACGGTCCTGGGATGAAGTCCCATGTTGGACTCCTTGCTCAGCGAGGAGCCTGCTTCTCCGTCTGCCTGCCGTCCCTCCACTCTCTCTCTGACAAAAAAATAAATAAAATCTTTTTTTAAAAAAGTCTCCTCAGGAGTCAAAACATTTCTTTTGTGTTTTACCAAGTGACCAGGAATGTTACACAATATAGTACAATCAGGATTACATACATTTACTATATTTGTTGGAATTTTGAACAGGTATTCATTTGTCCTTGAGCTTTTATCCTAAGACATTGGTGTTTGGATTTTTTTCAGACATTTCTATGACAACCCCATCCAGCTTGTTGGAAGATCTGCTTTTCAACATTTACCTGAACTAAGGACGCTGTAGGTTTTTCTCTTACAGATCCCTTTCCCCTTGCAGGGGTACTGTAAAAACCAAATGAATATTTTAAGTTAAAGTGCTTTGAAAATGGCACTAAAATGACCCCTTTCTGGAATCTTCTTCCAATAGTACTCATGTACCCCTCCTTCTAGGACTCTGAATGGTGCCTCACAAATAACTGTATTTCCTGATTTAACTGGAACTGCGAGCCTGGAGAGTCTGTAAGTACTTGAATAGGCTCTTGACTTTGCCCAGAACACGCACTGCCCTTGAAGCCTGACCAATCTTTAAAGCTAGTGAATAAAAATATGTCATCGTATGATGCCTGCATAAAAGAATTATGTCTGGTTTGTATTTCAACAGGACTTTAACTGGAGCCCAGATCTCATCTCTTCCTCAAACCGCCTGTGATCAGTTACCTAATCTGCAAGTGCTGTGCGTATCAGGAAGGCAGTGACATTGTGTAAACAGGCAACTTCCATTTAGGAGCAAAATGGCAGGCGTTCTTTCAATAATCCTTGAAAAGGGGAGAAAGTTTTTTCCTTGTAGGGCTACAAAAGGTCGGTGCTCCCTCGCCCCCGTGGGCCGGGGAAGTGGCTCTCTGATGTGACCCTGGTAATGGTGGCAGCACACCCTTTGTTCCCAAGGTTTAATCAGTCTCCCGTTAGAGTTTCAACTGGCACACGTTTCCTGTCAGAAGAGGGATATGAACAAGCCTAGATAACTTCGTTTCCCCCCTCAAAGCTTTGCAGAGCAGAAAAAAATTATGTAATGAATCAAAAACCCAATATGGATGCCAAAATAAAAAATTAAGTTATCAGACCCATACAAATCTTGACAAAGGTGACCCTTCTTCTGGTATAGTTGGTGGGTGCCATGTTGTAATGTTTCCAACTAGTGGTTAAAACGCTTGCATATGTGAATTCTAGTGACTTGGAGTGGTTTTTTTTTTTTCCCCTCTGCCTTTCCCTTTCTGAAAAATAGTTTATAGGGATTTGAAGAGCAGAGCCTTGTTTTGACCTTCCATTTGCAGCCTCTCCCTCAACTCCCAACCCTATTATCATCGTCTCATGCATTGTGGAAACTTAATGAATGAACCCTTAGTCTCTGGCCATGGCTCTATTCTCTCATGGGAGACATCTGTGTCAGTTGAATGCCTATAATTTCACCACAGGCTTCACCTCATAGCAGAACTACAAGCAGCACTACGAATGTTAAGTGGAAGGATGGGAATGTCTGCCACAATAATTCTGCTTCCTCCCATCTCCAGCACCCTGGCCACTTCAGACTTCAGTTTTTCAGTATATGGGGTTGTATGAACACCCCATGAGAGCCTTGGAGTCAGTCATTCGTGCATAGAGGGGGGGAATATGGAGTAAGTCTCTTCTCCACTCCACATTGCCCTCTGAGGTGTGGATACAGATGAGAAAACTGAGAATTAGGGAAGTGAAGTACATTTGTCGAAGTCACACTGCAAGGAAGTAGCAGAGTCCAAATTCAAATACAGGCAGTTTGATTGGATAACCGGGAGAAAGTGCATGTATACCAGGTGGTGGAAATCTTGGGCGCCATCTTAGAATTCCACCTACCACGCCCAGGTGTAATTATCTTCATTCTTCAAGGAAACTGGCTTGATGACATGACTAGGATTTCACATGCTGTGACCAGTACATAAGAAGCCAGTATTTAAACTGCATCTGTCTCCAATATGTGACATGGAAAATGGTAAACCAGCCAGAGCTAGAACTGCATAAATGGAGGCTGACTGGCAAATTGGTTAAGAGCAAAGGCTCTGGGGGTCTGTGTTTCTGGTTCAAATCCAGTCTCCCTATATACCACCAAGATACCTTGAGCAAGTTATTTATCCCCTCTGGGGCTCCATCTCCCAATCTATAAAATAGAGATACAGCCACTTCCTTCAGAGGATCATCATGAGGATTAAGTGAGTTACTACATGTCAAACGCTTATACACACACCTGGAACATTGTAAACTCTCAGGCAGTGTTAGCTCTTACCAACTTCTTTCTCACTTCCCTTGGACCATTACTCTTTCTCAAGCTCTTCTTTTCTCCATTTGAAACTTGAAAGGTCTGAAAGAACACAGATACATTAACCACAGGAGCTTGTCAGTTTCAAAGCCCTTCAACCTCTAACTTTGATTTGTTCTTCATGACACCATGCCAGTTCAGCAGAACGAGTATCTTCTCCTTTAAGGAGAGAACTGAAAAAAGGCATAATGTTTGGCCAGTGTATCAACCAAGATAAAGAATCAGTTGAAGTTGAGAGTAGAACTCGGGAGTGCCAAGCTCTACTACAATCTACTTTATGTTCTGGATGCACAGATCTGTGAGCTCCCCGCACCCCCACCTTGACTGAATCATCCGTGGAGTGCCTGTTACATGGGGAAACTACACTGTTGAAATTGTGCCCCAGGTTCTTCACTTTCATGGGAATTACTGGACTGTGTGTGGCTCTCCCCACTAAGTAGCTGGTGATCTGAAGGGAATTATTTCACATCGTATGATGATAATCAGTGTCTTCCTCATAAGGTGACCACAAGCATTCAGTGAAATAATTTAGGGAAAGCTGTAAACATGGTGTCTATATTTAAGGAGTGCTTGATGAATGTTAGCAATGAAAATAACTAGGTAGAAAGTAGGCACAAGTGCCCCTGTGTCTTTGTGTCAAAGGTGTTCTGTATCTTCTACTAAGAGGTACACAGAAGGATTTGTCCCCTTGCAGTCTGTGAGAACAAGTGAACCAAATTATTATCAGCTGTGATGATATGTATGTCCATTTTCTCACATACACTCTTTTTAAAAAATTTACACCATTTTGTTGACCAGGTATATTTGTGCCCAGGTGTGGGGTATGGTTTGGGGTTTTTTCGTTTTTTGTTTGGTTTGGTTTGGTTTAGTCTTTCAAACCTCTAGTATAAACTACAAATTTGTGTTTGAAAACAGCTTCATCTGCATTATGTTTGTGTAGTAAATGAACTGTCTTCTATATACATTCCATTCATTCAAAAAATGTAGAATGGAGTGCTCAATGACAAGAACAAAATAATTTAAAAGCCTCTTAGAAAGCAGTATGGATTTTCCAGTTGCATAGTAGTGGTCTGGTTTTAAGAATTAGAATCAGGCATGAAAGTGTGTTGTTAGTTGATTAGCTGATAACTTTTTAAACATGAGACAAGATTTTTTTTTAAGTATCTATGTTACTTTATCTACCAGCTTTCTTTTTTTAAGCTTTCTGCAAATTACCATGGCTTGTTTTAGATTAGTTATATTATACTATAAATATGTCCAGATGTTTTTGTTATTCTGTAATTTGTTGAGTTTTGGCTGAAGACTTTCTTAGATTTTTTTTTCCCTCTTGCCGTGATTGATTTCAAAATTAGTGCTATGTTTTGAATTGTTGTTGGGTTTTTTTTTTAGTTGATTAGAAAAGAACCAACAATGATTCTCTTAGCTATAGAGATATAGCAGCTCTTAGAGAGGAACAATTATTTAATTTAATTTGTACTCATTTCAGTAAGATAATAGCTAGGACATTGTAGATCATCACTAACAAAATATAAATAAATTCACTAAGTAAATTATTTAAATCAATTAAAGAAGTACAACAGCTACATTTCAGTAAATGTTTGGATCTATGCTTAATCCAATAATGCCTGTGACTACCTGCTCCATGTCAGGGCTGGGGAAACATTCAGAGTCTGCCTTTGGGAAATATATCATCTTGGAGGGGAAAGGAGAGCAAAGCATGTTTCCTTAGGATTAATATGTAACAGATTTTTCTCTTTTGTACCTTCTGTTTTCCAGAGATCTATCTTACAACCTGCTAGAAGATTTACCCAGTTTTTCAGTCTGCCAAAAGCTTCAGAAAATGTATGTCTATCAGAGTCTCTAAGTCACTTAACAAAAAACAAGAGCCAAAACTCACATTTCCAGGGGTCACTGGTTTGCTTGCCCCCGTGGTTCACTGGGGAGACATTTGGTGCTTTCCCTTCTCATACACACAAAGTGTGACTGTGTAGGATGGCTATTGAGCTGGGAAAAATAGATAATATTATTTTACCATGCACTGTACTGTCACTAAATCATTTATTGTGCTTTTCCCACCCCAAACTTGGTGTTGTAATAGAACTTCAGTGTTATTGGAACTTTGGGATTTTTCTAAACTTACATATCCAATGAGGGGTGTTACTTGTAAATATGGGAGGGGCTTTGTCGGGTGTTTGTTTCACAGCAGCCATCCTTAGAGGAGGTGCCATGTTCTTCATATTCAAGATGCCGTTGATGACACTTAGGCAGGAAACATTTGAACATTCCTTTCTTAAAATTGCCTCCACAAAACATGAGTCTTACTGCTTTAAAGTCATACTTTGGTTTTGATCAAAATGATATTAACCATCTATCTTTTCCCACTTTGTTTTTCTTTGAATGCCTTTGGGCAATTAAGAGAGAAAAAGAAAGGCAAATCTGTTTTTAAAAGGTAAGGATTTGACACTCTTGAACACCCTCAAAGAATTCTAGAAGGGCCCGGAAGGCAGAGCCAGGTGACTGAACGAGGCCAGCATTCGGAATACAGCCTTACGCCCACCCAGAGGAACTTGTTGCTTCAAAAGAGAGGCAACACTCCAGTATATAAATTGGAATGTTCTTCTTTAAGCAAAAAAAAAAATTTTTCATCAGTCACTTGGTAGTCACACTTCCTGTGTTCCTTTGATTGAGGGCAGGTAATCCCTCTGTACAAGATCTCTGAAGACTAATCTTTGAAACCAATCTTTGGAACTCTGTCGTTTCAGAGACCTGCGACATAATGAAATCTATGAAATTAAAGTTGACACTTTCCAGCAGTTGCTTAGCCTCCGAACTCTGTGAGTACTGCCTCCCAGCTCCTTCCCCCGCACAAAGCACTCTCTTCCCTGGTATTTTCTTTCCACTGTATACGGGTACTGTTGGACCTGTGTGCCTGTTTTTGCTGTGAAAAGGCAAATCTCTCGCTCATGGTGATTTTCAGGAATATATTCAAAAGTAGTAAATTTGCCATCTGCTCTCTGACACGGAACTTGGATAAAGAAGAAGGAGGCCAAGCTGTTGACTTGCCTATGAAACATGTTTCTGTCAGCAGCCTGGAATGGGTAGGGATCGTTTTCCACACAGAAATGGAACGACTGCACAATTCTTCCTGCCTGTTCATTTTTTCTGGGTCAACGGTTCTCAGTCTGTGTCTCAGAGTGCTTACGAATCCTCTGGGGACCACTGTAAAGAATGCTGGCTTCGGGTCCTCACGGGCTTCATGAGTTAGAATCTCTGAGTTGGATCCTAACGATTGCCATTTTAACAAGTACACTAAAGTTTGAGCACAGACGCCCTGAAAAAGGCTTCTGTCGATCAGATGACTAAAAATTGTAAATATGGTATCTAGTTCCATTTTATGAGTGAAAACACCATGTACCAGCCATAAATTTAAAAAAAAAAAAACTTGATAACAGATTGTTTTCTGTGACAGATCTTTTTCATCTTGAAACCAAATTTCAATGTAATTTTGATGAATAATGACAGTATGTAATGCTTAAACTCTGGTATATGTTGTTAAATACTCCTTTTTTCCTAAAGTTTTTCTTTTCTTTTCTTTTCTTAAGATTTATTTATTTATTTGAGAGACAGAGGGGTGGGAGGGGCAGAGGGAGAGGGAGAAAGAATCTCAAGCAGACTCCCCACTGAGTGTAGAGCCCAAGGCAGGGCTCAGTGTCACGACCCTGAGATCATGACCTGAGCCAGAATCAAGCATTGGTGCTTAACTGACTGAGCCACGCAGGCACTCCCTAAAGTTTTTCTTAATACTTAAGAGACTATATCATAGTAAAATAATACCACTCTTCAAAACATTTTAAATTGACACTTAAGAATCATCTCCTCCTAAAAATTTACCTTGAAAACTATCTTGTTCTGAATTTAAATATATTGCCCTTTCCTTATTTTTGGTATCAGCTTGTGAAGTTCTTCTACTTTTTTTTAGTAAATGTAAAACAAAAATACATTACCTAACTTCATTACCTGACTTTTTCACCCAGTTGGAGTTCTGGCTGTTTCCAAAAGTCAGTTTCCCTGTAAAAGGCTGATATAGTTGATAACACTCTATTATGTCATTGAAATTTGCTAACAGAGTAGAACTTAAATGTTCTCACCAAAAATATCTATATATTTTTTTCATATACACACAAAATGAAAGATTGACCTCTAACGACACCAGAAGAATGAGACACAGACCCAGAAGGCTCCATGTCTGAGTCTCCCTGAATTCCTCCTGCCCCTTAGACTTCACATCTGTCACCCACCAAACTCTGCCACCTCCAGTTCATCCACTCTTCTGCCACAGGCCCACGGAATGACTCCTGTGGATCGCCACCATCATCGTCCTAACCAGCCTTTCCACCATCCGTCTCCACTCACTCATCCCATTCTCTGAAGAGAATCTTTCTCAAACAGAAACCTAATCATGGTGCTTCCCTGCTTCAAGAATCTCGTTAGTCTCCTATCGTCTTCAAGATTGAGACTAGACTTCCCAGCACCGAGCTTCAAAATCTGACTCCAACCTCATAGTATAACCTCCTGACTCTCAGCCACACATTCCTAGGCCTCTGACACGTGGTGGCTAGCTCCAGTGTTCTTGCTGCCCATTGGGTTCCTCCCCACTCTCAACTTCCCCCTGCCTGAGCCCTTATAAGAACAAGATCTGCCATGAGCCCATGCCACTCTGATGCATTTTGCACACGCCCTGCCACAGGACTCAACCCTCGGCACTGCCATGCGTAGACTGTGCCCTACCCAAAGATGACAAGAACTTTTTTAATCATCCACCCCACCCCCCGAGGGTCTAGTGCAGTGGCTCTCTTGTTATTTACTCAAGAATTTCGAACATGTTTTGAACAAAAGATAGGGACTCTGATGTCAGTCAGCTCGAGTTGGAATCCCAGCTCCTGAGATGATTCTGTGACTTGGAGCAAGTCCCTTACTGCTCTGTGCATCACTCCTCACCAGTAAAATGGGGCTAATGACAACACCCACCTCTTAGAGTTGTGCTGACGGTTATGAGAGCAAGCGAGGCATGGGTAGGCAGAAACCAACCATGTGGCCAAGGCTGAGGCTACAGAAACACAGAGGAGGGAGGCCGTGGTTGAGAAAGTGTGCACCTGCCACCAAAGACAAGATTCCCAAGCAGAGAAGGAGGACCAGTGCCCAAGTTCTCTCTCCTGGGCTTCCACTGGGAATCTAGCTGCGACCAGTAGGGAGCCACCTGCAGGGTCAGCCCCAGGCACGGAACAGGGCTGGAGAGCAGAAATGGCTCCTCGGGGGCTGCTGGGAGGACTCCAGCACACAGGTGTACAAACAGGAGAGGAATTACAGTCCTTTGAACATACAAATTCTCCCATATTTACTCGAAAACCCGCCAAAGTGCTATAGGGACCCATGACCGGACTCAGCCTGCATTCCTGATATTCTGTACCGTGAGGCTCACTGGGGGGCACTCTTGTTCCAGCTGAAGCCACCAGGGACTTGGACAGGTGGTAGGACCTGCTCCCCTCGAAGGACAGAGACATTAGGAGCAGCTCAGGAGGAGACAGCCTCCTCATTCAATTTACCGAATCCCCATTTGGAGCTTCCCCACTCCTTCCCTGCCATTTCCTCCCCTTGTTAGCCAAAACTGTTTCTGTTCTGGGATCCATGAGGGATCAAAATAAAAAGACTTCCAGTTTCATCCAGCGTAGGGAGCCTTTCAAATGAGAATATAAATATTCTGTAAAGACCATTTATCCAAGATAACTCAGGAGGCCCTGTATCCTAAATAAATCACTCCTCTGAGCTAGAGAAAAGGTGACCCGAATCCCTTTCAATTTCCTCAGTTGTCTACACTTCCATTACATTTATTAGTCAGGCATTCTGAAAGGACAAATTTTAAGTTCATTGTTCCTTTTGTGAAATGTGGAAGTCCTTATTCCTGCTGAATCATCTACATTTCAGCGTGTGTGTGTGTGTGTGTGTGTGTGTGTGTGTGTTTTGAGTGAATTTTATTTCTCCATAGATTGTAGGTTTTCTTTGTTATTAAAGGATTTTATTTTCGACACATTAGCCCCTTTTCTATTTATTTTGCAGTTAAGAATTTAAATGTGCATCTCCTTTACTGGGGATTTTTTTTTTTTGGGGGGGGGATTTTTTTTTTTTTAAGATTTTTATTTATTTATTTGACAGAGATCACAAGTAGGCAGAGAGGCAGGCAGAGAGAGAGGAGGAAGCAGGCTCCCCGCCGAGCAGAGCGTCCAGGACCCTGGGATCACGACCCGAGCCGAAGGCAGAGGCTTCGACCCACTGAGCCACCCAGGCGCCCCTAGGGATTTTTTTTTTTTAATACTTCTCAGTGTCTGTCTTGCGGCCTGACCTACCCTACAATGTACAGAAAGCGTTTTTGAGTTTCATTACATGTGCAGGACATTTTATCTACTTCCAATTCGCCAGAGGAAGACCCTCGGAAGTCCTGCGTCTTAACTCCTCCTCCACCTCTGCTCATCTCAGAAGTGCCCCCATAAAATTTCACGGCCATGTTTTAGTCAACATTTTAACAGAGAGTAAAATCTAAAATATCCACTTGCGTGATTTTTCCTTGATTGTTTTAAAACAAGTTTGATTTAAAGTCCCCTCTTCAGTCACTTGATACTACTAATACCTTTCTCTGAAAGCTGATTTGATAAGCTTATTGCTATGTCCTGAATGGAAGTTAAGTTTTGGCAGAAGAACGAATATGTGGTAAAACTTCACACAATCTTTTTTTTTTTTTAATATACAATCCTCTCACTTGCCTCATTATTTTTTTTAAATAGGAATTTAGCCTGGAACAAAATCGCCATCATTCATCCCAATGCGTTTTCCACTTTGCCATCTCTAAGAAAGCTGTGAGTATTTTCATGACTTGTTTATGGCATGTTTTAAATAATTGGGGGGCCACCTAAATTCATCAAAAATGTTGGTTTTGCCGAAGAGGCCACGTGCACGGATTGCCTGGCCGTTAGTGCTCTGGACATTGGAGCTGAGTCAGACCAGAGAGGACCCCCCCCCACCCCGTCCTTCCATGGCCACGGGGGTGGGGGGGAGTGGGTTGGGGGTGGCCTGACATGTGTAATTGAAGATCTGGGTGACAGCTGGTTCTGGTTATTGAGGTGACATTTTCCATTTTAGCTGAGCAATCAGGTGGGATAGAATAAGATGTCATTTCAGTTCCAAAGTGTTTTCATTTCATATTTGCCATCCTGAGAGAAAACTTTGCTGTCCTGTCCCCCACCCCCACGCCACCTCCCCTCTGCTTCTTACACCTTCCTCTCCCCTCTCCCTTGTCAAAAGGAGAAGTTGCTGGTCAGACAGAGTTAAGGGGAGGAAAGAGAATAAACCCGACAGCGTCTTGCCCCTCCTGCCCAACTTAATCCATTCAATATCACTTTTCAAATTAGCTTTAGCACCTCCTTCCACTGATTTTTGATGTCCCCACCCGACAAAATGAAGCTGAATATGGAAATTACAATTTGGATGTGGTTGAAACAAGTCCCCCCTGCAATTCTGATTTTAAGTCATAAAATGATCAGAAGCTAAACCTAAAAGTTTGCCTTTTTTTTTTTTTTAAAACATCGATGCTTTCTGCAAACACAGACCAAAAGCCAATTGTTGTTTGATGTTTTACAGGGACCTATCCTCCAACCGCCTGTCGTCTTTTCCTGTAACGGGGTTACATGGTTTAACTCACTTAAAATTAACAGGAAATCGTGCCTTACAGAGCTTGATATCATCTGAAAACTTTCCAGAACTCAAGTGAGTTTGTCATTAAAACTAATAAGATACATTTGTGGTCATGCGAAATAACAGACGCGTTCTAGTAGTTTTCAAAATTTATGAGGTCATGGGACTCTTTTGAATTGCATTTCATGCCCTCAAGTCCCCCACCCCTAGGGCATTGTTAGGACAAACCCTGAAGGGGGAGACTTCGTCTTCCTGATCACATTTCCTTTCTTCCTCAAAGATGCCTCCCAGAATCCTAGTGTTCACGGGAAGAGTTTGAAAACCATCGATCCATGAGATAGAAACTAGGACACGTAATTAAATAACATGATAACATTATTGTAGTTAAAAACTGCTTACGTTTTTAATTTTATCTAGCTTGTTATATGTTCTAATAAAATGTACTAAATTCATATTTCTTTGAGGAAGTAATGCTCTTTAAAATCTATTGTGCTTATTACTGTTAAAAAAATCCCTTGAAAGACTATATATATATATATATATATATGTGCGTATATATATATATATACATATATATATGTGTGTGTATATATATATATATATATATATATATGCATGTAGGTACGTGTATGGGTATATACATATGTATATGTATTTTTTAAACCACAGGACATTCCATATACTTTTAAAACCATAACCCCAAAAGAGAGTTTGGAAAGTAGAAGAGAGTAAAAATCTAAAAATACCCCCTAAACAACTTTTTATTTTATTTCCTTTCAGACTTTGTTTCCAATGTATTTTTAATCATTAGAACTACAGTACATATACGAACTTACATCATGTTTTCATTACTTTACATTATGTCATACCATAAGCACTTTTTAATGGTGCTACAATTTTCCTAGCAGTCATTTTTTTAACTTCCCTATTATGGAAATTTTCAAGCACCAAAGTAGAGAAAATAATATAATATATGCATCACTCAACCTCAGCAATTATCAGCATTTCATGGCAACTCCATTGTTATTATAAATAGTACAGTAATGAACATCTTTGTACACAGTTAATACTTTAGTGTCTTAATTAAGGCTAAGATCCAAAGACAGAATTATTGAGTGAAAGAACATGAACACTACCTTCAACAACCTGTGTCTTTAAGTTTATGTTTTTTGTTTGATTTCGTTCATTTAAAGGGTTATAGAAATGCCTTATGCTTACCAGTGCTGTGCATTTGGAGTGTGTGAGAATGTCTATAAAATATCTAATCAATGGAATAAAGAGGACAACAGCAGTACAGATGACCTTCATAAGAAAGATGCTGGAATGTTTCAAGTTCAAGGTAAGACTTGCTATGTCACAGTGATGAAATTGTATCTAGAAGGGTCTTGAAAAGTCATCAAACAAGTCATCTGAACTCCAGACAAGTCCCTATGTAACCAGCCCCAGCAAGTTGGCCATCAATCTCACTACTTAAAGACTCCCAAAGAAAGAGAAATATCCCTTGGGATTCGTTCTAAAAGTTCATCTTTTCCGTAAGTGATTTCTTCATACTTTTATTTACAATTCAATCCCCCATGGCATAGACTGTCCTCAGGGGTAATTCTTAATATTGATGTTAATATTTCCATAAGCTTTTAAAAGGGCCTCATCCTTATGGATACCTTTTTTTAAAAAACATGTTTCTGAGTGGTTTTCTCCAGAAGACAAAATCCTCTTTTATTCTTAGGACCTGAGAGGAGTAGCCAGTACAGGCATTTAGATGCCTCCATAGGTCAGCAGAAGGGCTGAAGAATCCCAATTCTCATCCAACTAATTCTAAAACATTCTCTCCTCCCCCCCCCCCCCCCCCCCCATAGAGGTATCTGTCAGGAAGGTGAAATGAGATCATGTCTGTAAAGCACTTGGCTTTCCTTGAAGTAAGACCTTACTTAAACCGACAGCAATGCCCCTGAAACCACACCTGTGGTAACGAGAAGACGCCATGGCAGCCCCCATTTGCCTTTCCCTGCCAACCCTGCAAGTTTGCACAAAGTCTAAGCAGACTGGCTTCTCTTCCTTTGGGCCCTAATGATTTGTTGATTCCCAGGCAAGTGTGATTCCGTCTGTCTGACTATTAACTTACCATCTCTGTATGTACACACATCAGTTTAAAGAGCTGATATTTTAGCTTTGGCTTTTTTGTTTGAGGCCACAGCATGTATCTGGCTCCTATTTTTCCCTTAGTTTTTGCTCTCGCTGCTTCATCCATGTTAATTTCTACTATATTCATTCACTCAGGAAAAAAAAAATTAGTGCCTACTGTGGACCAGGAGGAACATAATGGACAAGAAAGACAAAGTTCTTCGGGGAGTTCATGTTTACGGGCAGTGATTCTGTATGTTAGGTCACTAAACTCCTGTTTCATAAATAGGTGCTAAACTAAGCACTAAGCAGTAACTTGATTTGTGCTTTGTTAAGCAGAATCTCCAGGAAAGATAGAAACTTATCTACCTGATTCTTCTTCTCGTGCTCAGAGAACACAGCCCAGAACCTTGGCACTCTAGCTATCTAAGCACTGGAAAATTGGATAAAGAGAGGCCCACAGCCTCTCTCCAACTTAGGTCAGTGCAATTTGGGACCATCCTGAGCTGCAGGGAACAAGGACAGAATGAGAGAGCTAAAGTGTTATGGCCCAGAGCCTGGGGTTACCCTCCCTCACCCCCACTTCATCTGGAATACTATGTCATATAGTGGCTCAAGTAGAACATCCAAAAGCAACTTTATAATAGATTGCCAGAAAGCCGGAGCTCAGGAAAAAGTGGCACATCTGGGCTTCAGTTCCCTTTGTGACCTTTCATGTCTTAAGGATGTGGTCCTGGGATGTGGTCCCCAGGAAGGAGAGACAGAACCTCATTCCAGGGCCTCTCATTCCTGCAGATGAGCGGGATCTTGAAGATTTCCTGCTGGACTTTGAGGAAGACCTGAAAGTCCTTCATTCGGCGCAGTGCTCACCTTCCCCAGGTGAGAAGGGTCCACAACTGGGCTGTCCATGCGCACGCTGACTCTGAGGCCATCAGTGACATACTGGCCACCCTTCAAACCAAAATCCGTGCTGCCTTTGAGGCTCTTATATCCATCCCTGTGGGGACCTTTAAAATAGAAATGTCCATTCCCTAGACTTGGTCCGCCCTCATAGACAGGGTTTCTGTGAAAGACTTGATTAAGATTAATGAAAACTGAAGAACCAATCAAGCACATGCAGTTTTTTTAAAAGATTTTATTTATTTATGTGTTTATGTATTTAATTTTAATTTTTTATTTACCTGAGTGGGGGAGCGTGCACAGGCTGTGGGTGGGGGGATGGGGAGTTCTCGAGGAACAGATGGGGAGGGAAAGATTCTCAAGCAGACTCCCTGCTGAGCGACATTGATGATTCAGGGCTCTATCCCATGACCTTGATTGAGATCATGACTTGAGCCAAAACCAAGAGTCCAATTAACCAACGGGGCCACCCAGATGCCCTATATAGGCAATTTTTTTTAAAGATTTTATTTATTTATTAGACAGAGATCGCAAGTAGGCAGAGAGGCAGGCAGAGAGAGAGAGGGAAGCAGGCTCCCTGCTGAGCAGAAAGCCCGATTCGGGGCTCGATCCCAGGACCCCGGGATCATGACCTGAGCCAAAGGAAGAGGCTTTTACCCACTGAGCCACTCAGGAGCCCCTATATAGGCAATTTTTAAATGATATCAGCAGTCTAGCCTTAACTAGTACATAGCAGTCTTGCTTCATGTAATCATTTATTTTTTAAAATTTCCGGGGCGCCTGGGTGGCTCAGTGGGTTAAGGCCTCTGCCTTCAGCTCAGGTCATGATCTCAGGGTCCTGGGATCGAGCCCCACATCGGGCTCTCTGCTCAGCAGCGAGCCGGCTTCCTCTTCTCTCCCTCTCTGCCTGCCTCTCTGCCTACTTGTGATCTCTGTCTGTCAAATAAATAAATAAAATCTTAAAATAAAATAAAATTTCCTCTTTCCTAAATAGCTATTTGATTAAAGCAAATAATAGTTTATACAGACAAGTAAAAAGGTGTAGATTGACTTCATGTAATTGTCCCATTCCCAGGAACAGGATGGGCCAGCTCGGGGCATGGAGGGTGGGTGCGGGGTGGAAGGCAGCTGGGAAGGGTTGATACTTTATTTTCAACAATAGGATTCTGTTACTCTCAAACATCAAACCTAAGATGAAATTTCCATGAAATGCACTCTCATCATACCCATACTTCCCCTTCTAATATTATGGAGTATTTCCCTGGGATTTTCTTTTTCTGCTTCCAGAACATTTTTGAAGCATTCTGGAAAACTACATAATGAAAAGCCCAGGAGATCTGGCTTTTCACCTGGCCCCAACTCCACTGTATTTGGGGGAACATAATCAAGTGATTGAAACTCCCCATCTCCATTTCTGTGTGTTTAGGTTCAAAACATGAGCACCAGCTGTTCATGTTTTCACAGTAGTTAAAGAAAGTAGAACACGCCACAGGGGAACTGTGTGCTACTCTGGCTGTTACTGGCCTCTCTCTCGGCATCCTAAGAAGAGAAACAAAAAGGTAATGTGGCAGAAGTTGTGAACCCTAGTTTGATACCCAGTCTTTTTCTTCCTTGGACTTCTAGGCCCCTTCAAACTCTGCGAGTACCTGTTTGGTAGTTGGCTGATCAGAATTGGAGTGTGGACCATTGCCATTTTGGCGCTTACTTGCAATGCCTTGGTGACCTCGACCGTGTTCAGAGCCCCTCTGTACATTTCCTCCATAAAACTGTTAATTGGGTTAATAGCAGCTGTGAACATGCTCATGGGGGTCTCCAGCGCTGTGCTGGCGGGTGTGGATGCGTTCACTTTTGGCAGCTTTGCCCAGCATGGGGCGTGGTGGGAACAAGGGGTAGGTTGTCAAGTCGTCGGCTTTTTGTCCATTTTTGCTTCGGAATCATCTGTTTTCTTGCTCACTCTGGCGGCCCTGGAGCGTGGCTTCTCTGTTAGGTGCTCTGCAAAATTTGAAAGGAAAACTCCTTTTTCCTGTCTGAAAGCAGTCATTCTGCTCTGCGCGGTGCTGGCCTTGACCATCGCCACAGTTCCGTTGCTAGGGGGCAGTGAGTTCAGCGCCTCCCCACTCTGCCTCCCCCTGCCCTTTGGCGATCCCAGCACCACAGGCTACATGGTTGCGCTTGTCTTGCTCAACTCTCTTTGCTTCCTGGTGATGACCATTGCCTACACCAAGCTCTACTGCAATTTGGAAAAGGGAGACCTAGAGAACATGTGGGACTGTTCTATGGTGAAGCACATTGCTCTCTTGCTCTTCACCAACTGTATCCTTTACTGTCCCGTGGCCTTCCTGTCCTTCTCCTCATTACTAAACCTCACCTTTATCAGTCCTGAAGTAATTAAGTTTATCCTCCTGGTGATTGTCCCGCTTCCTGCCTGCCTCAATCCCCTTCTCTACATCCTCTTCAATCCCCATTTTAAGGAGGATCTGGGGAGCCTGGGAAAACAACCCCACTTCTGGACCAGATCGAGAAACCCAAGCCTGATATCTATTAACTCTGATGATGTCGAGAAGCAGTCCTGTGACTCAACCCAAGCCTTGGTAACCTTCACCAGCTCCAGCATTGCCTACGACCTGCCTTCCAATTCCGTGTCACCACCAGCTTACCCAGTGACCGAAAGCTGTCACCTTTCATCTGTGGCATTTGTCCCATGTCTTTAATTCACCTGTGGGAGAAAAAGTTTTTAAACATTGAAAACCCAAAAACATGAGAGTGGGTACATCAGAGCAGTAACTAAGAATAGTTGGTGGAAACTTTGTTTTTGGTATCTCTCAGTGTGGAAAAAGCTGAAAACCTGTTGATACTGGAGAGTGAAAAGTAAGTCTAACTGCTGCTTGTATAACTCATTCAGATATAAGAGATAGATCAGTCACACTATTTAGGTATGCCCAGATTTTTAAAAAACAGATCTGAAATGTTCAAAAGAGATTCTCCATGATTTCAACCAGATTCTTTTTCAACTCACCAATCTAGTTATTTGGGGAGAGAGGCAGAACTACTCACTTACAAAAGAGGTTTTAAACCTGAAAAACCCCTCAAAAGATGGTGAGAGGTGTTTGGAAAATAGGGTTTTAAATGGCCTACATGACGAAGTCGAGGCTGTGACCAGTAGGAGTTCGTTTTAATGACCATGTGGATGTTTTAGCCCTCCTTTACCTTTCCTCACAAAGGATCCTTCCAGTCACCAGTCCCCTCCTGAATGGATAATGTAGGGCATTCCTAGTTAGATTCACATCCTTTCTAGTCATGCCAGATTTTTATGTATCAGCATGAGATGGTTCCACCTCAGTGAAGTAAAACTGCCTACAAATATTTTGAAAGGAAAATAAACTTAAATTCTTAAATTGGCATGAAGGCAATCATGTAGAAGTGAAGTTTGCTTTGTCTAATTCATTGTTAACTCCTTGCTGTCCAGAACTCAGAAGAAAAGTCCGTTGCTGGCAATGGATATACCTAGAAAAGATGGTGAGCAACCTGGGAGGTTTTGGGGTTTTTTTGTTTGTTTGTTTTGTTGTTGTTGTTGTTGTTTTCAGGTGAGTGCACACTTCTTGCAGGAGGTCTTTTCAGTTGATTCAAACTAATGTGCATCTTTAGGAAATGACCAAATGCAGACCGACATAAATTAAATGCACAGGCATCATCACTTCACACATGTGTATCTCTAGTAGTTCTCGCAACGGTGTCTGAAACCACTTTGGACTCAACAGGGATTTGGTAACATATCCTGTTTATTTAGCTTGGTTTTAGCTGTGTTGTCTCTGGACCAACCCACGTGATGTCAGGAACATGACTTCTGTGCTTATTCCATATGTAATACATGTGTTAAGTATTTTAAGAAGTAAAATTATTAAATACTAAAGGTCAAAGGATTAATTTGTAACTTCTATTATACTACATTAGCTTCAGTACATCCAAATCAAAAGACTGTTAGGTAGATTTATTTTTATATAAGCATGTTTATTTTGATCAGATGTTTTAACTTGGAATTGAAAAAAATACATTTATGAGATGTTTTATAAGATGTGTAAATATAGAACTGTATTTATTACTACAATAAAGATTCAGTAACACTAAGGACCATGATAATAAACCATGTACAGTGGCATATTCTTCCATATATATTGTGTTTCTCTGCCCGTTTTCTTTAAATTCATTAACTGTATATAATATGTGTAAATGTATAGTACTTGTAAATAGATTCCAAACTTGCTTTTCTATTGGGTACAAAATAAAAGAAATTTGTAATAAAACGTGTGACTATAAAACAAAGTATCTTCAGCTCTTTTTGAGCCCACAGGCAAATATATGGTCTCCTAAGTGTTTTTTATTTCTAATGTATAAGTACATTTGCTATTGAAGTATTTTCACCTCAATATTTTAGGTACTTTGGACTTACCATAAGAAGTAAACACTTCACAAGAACAAACCAAAATATCTTTACCAACTCCTGGATTGTGTTAAGTAGGACTAATAAGCCATTTTGTCAAGGCAAATGACTTGGTAAAGTTTATTGTCCCCAGTGAGGGTTTGGATTTCATAGCCAGAACCTATTTCTTTTGCAACATAAAAAGAAAAAAAACTCCACAACTAGAAAGAAATATATAAATAACAAATCAATCTTAAAATTATTCAACATGAACATGAGTTTTCTATAAATTCTTCCTTTAAAAAAAAAACATATTTCATGACCATGTCAAGGCCAAAACGTTCTCTAAGGACATGCAATTCTCAGGGCACAAAGCAATGCACTGTTCCCCTTCAGTTCCCATCCCCCAAAACATAAGAAAAGAAGTGACTTTCCTAACGTCTTGTGCCAAACCCTTGCAGCTTCAGCAGTGATTCCTGCTGTCCCCATACAGGTCACAAAATGAAACTGTCAAGTCTGGTTGGAGGCCCAGCATTATTGCTAAGAGGACCCATACTTACTGAGCACCCTCAGGGTAGCTGGCACTGAGATCATCACCCACTCATCAGCTAGAACCCTATGCTTCAACCTAACGGAGTTAACAGGCATCCCAGGATGTCTACTGTGCTGCCCGCACTTGGTTTGTCTTCAGCTGAAACAAGGGCTCTAACACGGTCTCCTTCCTCTGACCCCAGATAGTGGATACAAAAGTTGCTTTTAGAACAATGGATCTCAGTCCTCCTTCTCAACATACTTGCTTTTGGGTACCTAAAGTTAGGAACAAGTCCTGACAGCCCACCTCTTTCTGTCCCACTCAGGAAAGCACAAGTCAGTGATGTAACTTTTTTAAAGGGGAAAAAATCCACTCTAGTGCATTTCTTTAAAAATCCACAAACTCTATTGCTTTATTAGCAAAACTTAATTATAATACACCTCACGGCAAACACTGCTTTGTTAAGTGTCTGATCAATGCTCTGCACTGTATTACAGTAAGTCAGAACGGCTGGAATTACATCCACAAATAAACCTACAGCGAGAAGAAGAAAGGCTATATAATAAGCTCGACAGACGGAACAACAACGAAAACAAAAACCAAAAGACTGTAAACTGGTCGTCTAGCCTATAGTAAGTGATTAACTTTACGTTTTCAAAATGGATTCATTCATTCAACAAATACTATGTGCCTCTATACAGGCAGTGTTCTATGCTTGGGGGTTTCTATGCAAAACATGGTCTGGAATTTGCACTCTAATGAAGGAGAGAGAGACAATAAGCAAATCTAAACAAGGAAATACATGACAGAAACATGAATGGAGGAAAGGAAGCTTGAAGAGCGTGGCAGGAGTGACTGGCATGTTATTTGCGATGCAGAGCTTGAGAAAGGTTCTCTCTGGAAAGGCGCCTTTTAAACTAAAATACTATTCAAAAAGGAGCTACCCTTGCTTTAGCATTCAACTAGTTCCATCAGAAAAACTCATCATTTTTAGTTTTCCTCTTCCTATGTCGCCCACAACAAATCATGTTAGATGACATTTTAATATAAAAGTATATTAGGTGGCTGTTATTGCACATAATTTTTTCTTAGAATGGTTACTAGAGAGAATCATTCTCATACAAAACAGAAAACATCATTTTGTTTTGGCCAAAAGTGGAAAAACAAGGTAGTAAAAAGTAATAAAATTAGCAACAGCCTGCTTATTTAGAACCTGAAAAGCTTCAACATCTGAAAAAATAACAGTGTTTTGCTTTTTTTCTTTATCTTGTCACTACATGTAGCTCAGGGGCCCATTCGCCAACAAAAGAATAAGTCCCCGAGAAAGAGACGGGGCTCCCTGTGATCCCACTAGCTCCATACACGCTCTTCAGCATTTGGAAATTGTATTTTACAGCTGCACTATGTAGATGAAAGAGACCATTCCCCTCCAAGCCACTAAACACTGACAATTTTCTTTCTTAGGCCTCAGAGGCCCGAAAATATAGTTAGGTTTGGGTGGCATTTCCTTGCAAGTGAAGTCGTCACAGGCTCTGTAACCGTACCCCACTTTAGTGACCTTCTTATGAACATTTCTAAAGATGCTGGACTCAGATTTGACACTGGCTCATTCATCTCAAACCCAAGTTCCAGCATGTCTGATCCTCGAAGCTTGTTGGGGAGGTTGATAACAAAGCTTTAGCTTGTCTGGATGAAGAAACTAGAAGAAAATGAATGTGATATGCTGGAGAAGCACTGTGCAACCTGGGTTTTCCAACTCTAGCCACATTTAGACATGACTTCCCTTTCTGGTTACTACATTTTAAATAGAATGTTAAAAACCTGCAGTCAGTACTACCTCTCGTTTTCACAAAAAAGAAAGAAAGAAAGAAAACAAAACAAAAAACCATCTTAATCCATGAGGACAGGAAATTTAATGATATAGGATAGGGAAATGATAGCTCATCAAATTAAGAATAGGGGTGCCCAGCCAGTTCAGTAGGTAGAGCATGCAACTTTTGACCTTGGTTGGGCTTGTAAGTTTGAGCCCCACATTGTACTGTGTAGAGAGAACTTAAAAATAAAATCTTTAAAAAGAAAAGCCTGAGAATGTTTCCCCCAGAGAAAAGAAAGCTCAAGAAGAACACTTGAAAAATTTGAATAATTGAAATTTATTAAGTGCTTTCTTAAGTACCAGCTCATAGCAGTCCAAATAGAATGGTTAAGTCCAGGGATTTGCCACTAGTCAAACCTGCATTCAAATCCTACTTCTATTACTACCTGTATTATAATTGGGCAAAATATTTAATTTTTCTTAGCCTCTACTTTGTCCCCACTCAAATGAGAAAATATCATCAGCCTCATATGACTGGAAGTATTAATAGCTCAGTGTATTAAATCTCTCATCGCAGCACCTGGAATGGAGCAGATGTTTAATAAATGATTGCTGTCTTTTCCCCCTTTCCCAACGGCCCTATGACATAAGCAAAGCAGGACTTGCTATTTTGTAGATAAACTGAGAGTCAGAGTGAGAAGTAAATCCCTAAGATCAAAAATGAGGAGCTATGATTAAAACTTGCGTTTTATTTAGTAGCAATTGAAAGGCAGTCACAGGATGAGCCAAATTACTTTTTTAGAGAAGAAAAACCAATTGGCAGATTATTCAGGGAGACAGAATTGGGCTTAACCTAAGGAAGATTCACTTCATCAGATGTCTTGGGTACCAAAGAAAGTCTATTACATTAAATGAGAAACTAGATTAAATAATGGTTAACTAATCAACT